CACTAGTTTCAATCCAAAACACCACATTTCCTGGTGGTTGGGAAGTCATTTATTCAAGAGGATACCACTTCTTTGGAAGTCTGAGATGAAAAATAGACTTGATTCCGATTTAATGCTCTACTAGTCCCGCTTCACACAGAGCTTATAGCTGACAACAGACTCCATATGCCTCTGTAGCGCTTTAACACCCTGCTCTAGGATTCCTAGGCACTAACAGCTCTTTACTAACCCTGTCCAGGTGGGCAGGCACAGGAGTATGGTGCTACTGGTGACCAACATTAAGTTGTAGGAACAATTCAGTCTCCTGGAGTAGTGCTGGATTTGGCTGGGATAAGGTTAATTTTCTTCATAGTAAGGGTTGTGGCTTGGATTTGTGCTCAAAACACTGTTGATAATATAATTACTGCTGAGCAGTGCTTACACAGCCTTTTCTGCTCACAAGAAGTGAGGAGGGGACACAGGCGAGCTACCTGATGCCAACTGACCAAAGGGATACTCCAGACCATGTGGTGTCATGCTTAGCATATAAAGCTGGGGAAGAAGGAAGGACACACACAGACACGCATTTAGAGTGAGGGTGTTTGTTATCCCAAATAACCATTACTTGGGACAGGAGCTCTGCTGTCCTGGAGATGGCTGAAGACCTGCCTGCAGTGGGAAGTGGTGAGTACATTCCTTGATTTGCTTTGCTTGCACACATGGCTTTTGCTTTACCTGTTAATCTGTCTTTATCTTTACTAATTCTCTCCTCCATCCCACTGGCAGCAGCTGTGCAGCGCTTAGTTGCCAAGTGGGGTTAAACCACAACAGCAGTTGAATGTATCTGCAGAGACCATGCTGCTGCAGTGGTAGGTTGGTCTTGGTACTCCTGTCTTCTTCCACACACAAGAGTGTGTTGCTGTGAAACTGGTTCTACAAATAAGCATACTTCTTGATGTGCTTCCCTCTGTGCATCGTTCCTCAGCCTGGAGGCTATTTCTAGGCAGGGCTGGTTATAGAGATAGCATTTACTCTGGTTTTACAGATGATAGCAAAGTTATTTCACTTAAGGCACTTGCTATTACTTGCAATTGCTAGTACATCAGGCAGCTCAGCTGTATCAATGCTCAGCACTGGAATTAAGCAATGTCAAAGGGAAGAGGTAATATTATTACTGCAGCATTTTGCCACACTCTTCTGTAGCAGTCCAGAGCAGGAGTTTGGCTAGAAGTTTCCAAAAGTGGGGCTTTCTTCCAGCTCTGTAAGGTGGCAGAAGAACCACCACCTACCAGAGGAGGCTAACAGTAACCATCCACCCCAGGATCCATTTTTAGTGCACTACAGCAGTCACAGAAGCACAGACTGGTTTGGGTTGGAAGGGACCTTAAAGCTCATCCAGTTCCAACCCCCTGCCACAAGCGGGGGACACCTTCTGCTACAGCAGATTGCTCCAAGCCCCTGTGTCCAACCTGGCCTTGAACACTGCCAGGGATGGGGCAGCCACAGCTTCTCCAGGCAACCTGTGTCAGGGCCTCACCACCCTCACAGGGAAGAGCTTCCTAAGATCTCATCTAAGCCTCCCCTCTGTCAGGTTAAAGCCCTTCCCCCTTGTTCTGTCACTACATGTCCTTGTCAAAAGCCCCTTTGCAGCTTTCTTGTCAGCCTTTTAGGTATTGGAAGACATTTTCACAGCACAGGGTGAGGCTGGGAAAGGCTGGCTGCCAGGGAAGCCTCCACTCTTTCCCG